GACCCGTACCAAGAACCAAGATCACACGTTAGAGATCTGACCCATTGATTATCCATATCAAGAACTGTGAAGTGGGAGTGGCACAAAAGGACTGTGACTCCTTTTGATAAGTTCTAAGTTAGATCTATGAACCACTAAGAATTGGAAGAATAAATCTCACCCAAATGTATTTAATCTCAATAATGTCAAAAGTCTTAAGTTACAATGAAAAAACTTAGTTGCCACGGAATTAGGCCCAAAAGATACTAAAAGATATGATAAAATTAGAGTTCTAAAGTCATTAAGAAATTCGCAAAAAACATAAAATCTTCTTGTTGGATCACTTCTATGCGACCGTATAGTTGTTTTCTATGCGGTCGCATAGAAGACTCAAAATCTCTCATTCAGGTCTCGGGATGGTGCCATACGACCGCATGGCTTGGTGAACCATGCGGTTGCATGGTTTAGCAGACTGCTTCCGTTTGCCATCTTGATTTGGTCAACTTCCAATTCACCTTGGCTTTCAACTCCAACATAAAACCTGACCATTGGTTTGTTAACTTCGTCTCGGTAAACTTTGTGGCTCGATCATTTGATTGCGTAGCTTTTTTGACTTGATTCAAGCCTCAACTCGCCCCTGAACTCGACTTTGACTTCTTCTCAATGTACTTCGAATCTTCGCCCGTTTGAAGCGTTGCCTGGATCACATCATCCCCTCTTTCTTTGAAAGGATTCAACTTCGAGTTCGATCCTATGACAAACGAAGCAACATTAGCAACCTTGAAAAGATTAACTGTTATAGACTTACCCATTAAAAGTAAATTGTAACCTGCATTCTTGATCATTGCAATGCTTTGAAAAGGTTCTTCTCCTTTAGGATGTAGCATGGTTGACTTCGTTTCCGCCTTGTGCGCATAATCACCCAACGACTATCACCTGGATCATACAAGACTCCACTTGATAGCTTAGTAATCACCTACTTTACACCAAAACCACTACTAACACCAAAGCATAAATTCATTGAATTAAACGAGGTTAGTAGATTAAAAACACCTGTTAAATTGAAACATGTAATAAGAATAGTAGACATGGAACTTACTCCTAACACATGCCATAAGTCAAATCTAATACAAGTAAGAACATCATGATTAAAAATGCACCCCAATTGCTTATCATATGCAATTAACTCCGTGTGACATATTAGAATTTCATGGTGTGATAAGTGCATTTCATAAACAAGTAAGAATTTTTTCATACATGAAAACTCATACCCTATCCTGAGGTGTAGAATTTTAATATGTTACCATGACCTTATTACGTTCACCTTCCTTAAGATTCTCCCATTCATCTTTCTTGAGTCCCTGCAAAAGAGAATTATTCAAATTGGGGAGGAGATTGTTAGTTCTCACCAAAGCTTTCTCACACTCGAGTTTTTTCGCATAAAGGCTCACTTTGGAATTTTCTCTCAATTCTGATTTTTCCCTCTCTGCTCTCTCATGTGGCTCGACTCTTTTTTTTATCACTCACAGCCACCTCACTCTTTTCTCTCTTGCTCTCATCTTTCCTCTCTTGATTTTTATTTTCTCGCTCACTCTTTAATTTCAGTTGGTCCTCTTGGACTTGTTGTAGTGTCAAAGGTACAAGTGTAATTGTTTTGCCATCCTTTACCAAGCTGTATCGATTTGTGAATCCTTCATGTTTCATTCTCATATCATACTACCATGACCTTCCCAACAACAAATGCCCACATGCATTGGAACCATATCATACATCACCTCATCATTATATCACCCAATGCTGAAATTTACTAAGGCCCTTTAGGTAACCCGTATTTCCCCAAAATTATTCAATCATTCCAATTTGTACGGTTGTAGATGCCTCATAAGAGGTAACCCCGACTCTTCTACAAGTGCCGTGCTAACCACATTGGTACAGCTCCCTCCATCGATAATCAAACTACACACCTTATCCTTAATGTGACACCTAGTATGAAATAAGTTTTCCCGTTGCTGCTCCTCTTCATCCACCTTCACTTGTATAGTAAGAGCTCGCATAACCACTAATGACTCTGCCACCGGGCACTCCACACAAGTCTCACCCTTAACATTCTCCAACTCAGGCATACTGTCACTCCCATTCCCATCACCCGACTCAATTTCTCCATCATCCCGTAGAATCATCACCAGTCCGTTTGGACATTGTGAAGCAATATGACCCGTTCCCAAACATTTATAGCATTTAATATCCCTTGACCTACTAGTTTGAATTTCAATATTTGGTTTATTCTTATTCACCTCTTCCTTAACCTTAGGTATTTCAACTTTTCCCCGGGTCTCCACCCGATCATGCCCATCACCACCACTTCATTTGGGTTCCGTAGTAAACCTAGTTACTCACTTTCGTTTGAGTTGCCTCTCCACCTTCATAGCCCATGCACCAAGTCCTCCAACTCCATGTAGTGTTGTAACTCTACAATATTAGCAATGTCCCTATTCAATCCATTCAAAAACCTAGCCATAGTGGCCTCCCGATCCTCCACTACATTCATCCTGTTCATCGCCACCTCCATCTCCTTGTAGTAATCTTCCACACTTCTAGAACCTTGAGAAAGAGTTTGTAGTTTGTAATGTAGATCCCGGTAATAATGTCCAAGAACAAACCTCTTTCTCATACAAGCCTTCAACTCACCCCACATCTCAATTGGCCTATCCAAATTCCTCCTACGACTAGTCACCAATTGATCCCACCAATTGATAGCACAGTCAGTAAATTCTACTACAGCTAATTTCAACTTCTTCTTCTCAGAATAGTTATGACAATCAAACACCAATTCCACCTTCTTTTCTCACTCCAAGTAAGCTTCAGGGTCACTCTGACCTTGGAAAGAGGGAATATTTATTTTGATACTTCCCAATTCTCTATCAACACCCCGATCAAACCTACCTCATCTATTCCTCGTTCGCCCCATGTCAGCCTCCAAATAGTATTCACTACTACCTACACTCACCACCTCATCTTCACCATCAAATTCAGCCATAAGATTCTGTCATCTCCTATCTACTCTACCCACATGAGAGACCCTTTGGGGTGTCCTCCCTGCTGACTCCCAATCATAGTTTCATGCCTAGCTACATCACCATTAATTCGTTCAACAGCCAAACCCAATTGATCAAACTTATGATGTATAGCCTGCATACTATCCCTAAACTCAGCATAAAACCCCTTAGGCATAAAATCTCTTTATGTAATAAGTAAATAACAAAAATTAAAGGAACAGAAATAACAAATTAAGTTACCTCGCGTGTTTGCACTCGTGTATTACTCAAGATTGGCTTTTACCCGATAATGAGCTCACCATTTTGCCTTTTACCACTCGTTCTCCTTTCGCAATAGCTCGAAAAATAACCGATCTCAATCAAAGGTGACACATTTCCCGCAGCAAACACCACCACAAGCACAAGTTTCGAATAATCAACAAAATTTTGGCACGGACTGAGGTAATCAACTCTAATGCAAGAAAAGAAACAATTGACTCGAAAATTTATATCTTTTTTGCTTTGCTTTGCCTCTAGACGTTCACAATGTGTAGATATTTTTTTTAACTGTTCAAGTGAACAGTGATGATGAACAGTAATTACCAACGAAAACAAGGATCCAAAGCAAAAATAACAATTCTGATCTTTTTTTTTCTTTTTTGACTCAAACAAGAGCAATAAAATTGACTCTTTTTTTTTTACTCAAACAATAAAATAAATTGTTGGAAAGTAAAGATAGATGACCTGAAGTCTAGATCCAAGCTCTAATACCAATTGATGGGAACCAAGCCAAGAATATTTCTTGGGAACCCACGAGCAACTTGAAAACCAACCCAAGAAAGCTTGAAATCACATCTCGCAATAGCAACCCGGCCCGTTGTTCGACCCGCACCAAGAACCAAGATCACGCGTTAGAGATCTGACCCATTGATTACCCAGAACAAGAACCGTGAATTGGGAACGCCACAAAAGG